ATATATATATCCTGCGAACTCAGTTTGCTTTCTTTTGGGTGCGCCTTTTCCAGAATTTCCAAGTACCACTTTCGTTGCGTTGAGCTTTGTGGCTCACTACAAGTTTGTATGTTTGTTTGCCTCTCTGAAAACCATCTTCACTCTTTTGCTAATCCGGCCCGCCGAAACACTTATTTATCGTTGAGCTTTGTGGCTCACTACAAGTTTGTATGTTTGTTTGCCTCTCTGAAAACCATCTTCACTCTTTTGCTAATCCGGTACCACCCGCCGAAACCGGATTTATCGCCAATAACTGCAACCCGTTTCCTATGAGCCCCATCTGAATCCGCGAACAGCTCACTGCTGATTCTAACCTACCTGGACTGGTTCACTGGATCGAGTCACCAGGATCTGAATCGTTAGTTTTTCCACAAATCTGGAGTATAGTCACAACAGAATTTTATATTTGGTCCACGTTTTACACGATATCTTAATTTTATTGGAACCTCAAGCCTCGACCACCAGCTCAACTGTCAAACTTGAACCAGAATAGTTTTTTTTAATGAGAACTAGGCTTACAACAATATGGAGTAAAGTGCTTGTGTGGAGAAGTCATGCTTTCTTTATTTTAGTGGATTATCACGTATACTGTGCCTCCTGTCATTCGCTAACAATCATTTCCTCCTTTTATCTTTAGGCCATCAAAAGTTTTTGATTTCTTCCTTTGTGGGTACTGTCACTTCTTCTACATCTGTTACGCAAATTAAGTCTCCTTCATCATCAGACCATATGACAGTGTGTGCTATGATGGTGATAGCAGTGTTATTGATCATTTTCTTCAAGTTTACTTGTCACTGTCGTATTACCCATTTTGTGGCTTCAGTCAGCAGCTGCGGCAGATCACCACTCAGCGAGTTCTCATTTTGAGAAGATGCGTGTTAAAGAGGAGGGGCGTTTCTGACACAAGTGAGGCTGTAGTGTGAATAAGCGAGATGAATGCATCTGCTTTGGTATCAGTGTGTAGTTGACAGATGTGAGCTTTCGGTTCACCAGATTGGTGCGTGATACAGCTGGATTCAATCTCCTCGTGATGCCCACAGTTTTACTTCCATAACGAAGGAGAATCATCCACCGGTATTAAATACTATGGGAGCACCGACGAGTTTTATGCTAAGACTGGCCTGAAATCGTGCATAATTTTGTGGTCACCGTCCACCGAGTCCACCCAAGGGATTCAGGTCATATAACATGACTGCTTGAGTGCATGGTTACTGGGGTCTTGTTGGTCCATGATATGGGTACACCAAGTTTACTGGAGTCAGTGCATTTGTGGAAACCCACAAAACTGGTTCACACCGTAAACATACATGGTGAAAAGAAATGTGTACAACCCTGGAACAAAGATCACTGATGAGGAGCGATCCAAGTAGACCTGGTTAAGACTATTCCTACCAAACATACAAGTAAGGTTGACTGCAGAGGCTTGAAGTTTTGATGATAATAATGCAGATCAACCCTGAATCTGCTCAAGCTGAGCTGTCCAAGCCAAAGGCTAACTCTTCGTCAAGACTAATCTTATCGTTGACAAAAATCGCCACCATATTTCATGTTTAACTCCCTTAAAGGAAGCTTGTACACAGATACAGTAGTAAACTTTTGAGAAACATGGTAAATTGATCTCGTCACTTCTAGGAAATACTTAACCTCTGAAAACATGGACCAAATCAACTGTTCCTTTTAATGAGGTTCAGCTGCACCGATAGTTGTGATTCAATGCAGAATCCTGAAAGCCAAAATCCATAAGACAATAAATCAATACAGTTTTCATCTGATAAGAACACATACTATTTTCTGGATGAATCAGTGTCAGGGGTTGTTATCCAGTCAATGTTGCACTGAGCGATAGAAAGTCCAATGTTTAGTTCATCTATCGTCATCACCACCCCCCGTTTACAAGACCAGTCTCCAATCATGGCCGCCTGTCGGTCCACTAGGGCCCTTGCGGGAGTGGCGGTCTCCCTTGTAGGTACCCTGTTCGGTCCCATTGCATTGCTTCCGGGGAAAATGGACGGTTATAACCACATGCTTTCAAACGACCCTTTTGGGAATAAGTTGACTGTCGCGTGCGTTTTGCTGATGTATGTACTTGATCCTGAAGCGTTGGGAAAGAATGTTCGTGAATTAGGAAGGTAGTCTATTTCCTAGGGTCTTTGTTATGGGTTAAGCTGTGATCCCTCAGAGGATATATATATATATATATCTATATATATATATCCTAAATTAATCCTCACCAGATCTGACCGACATGATCTTTATCAAAAAATGGTCTTTTTGGATAAACTACATCACTAACAACTGGACGCGCCTCAAGGCTTCCCACTTGCGCAATTCCGATCTCGGTATCTAAAGTGGATACCAACGGTTTTGAAGAAGCATACCCTGGGGAGTTTCCCCTTTTTGAGAGAACACACTGCCCATAAGGCTGCTAAAAACTTTTCAGCAGTTCCAACGGTCTCTCCCTTGGAGCTCTCCAGGTAGGCGAAGTTCCTGGGTTGCCGTCGACCTCATGTTCTACTTCAACAGCAAACCATACGCAGTTGGCTAAATACACTCATTTGCAAATGGTGTTAACGGTGGAATTTACTTAATCCCTTGTTTATGATTCCCTTCAAATGAATGTGCTCTACAGTGTTCGCGTCCTGATTCATTTGGTATGATATCTCTCTTCTACTTTATCATCAAATTATATGCAAATGGTGAAATACATCCATTTGCAAATTACTGTGTTGTCAACGTGCACTCAACTGGATCTGTCGTTTATGGGCAGCATGGTTTACTGTTTTGTAAACTCAAGGTTGAGTTCGGTCATTCAAACTAGACGTCCATTTTGTAGTTGAACAGCCTATCGAACTGCCTCACTGTCGTTTCACTACTTCCCTCAGTTAATCCAAGTCATCGTCGGTGAGAAGCTGTTGCTGGGTTAATTTGCTTGAGCGACACTCATAACTATCTGGAATCCACAGGTGTGTTTCACCTTTCAGCACCAAGATCTGTTTTGAATGTCTACTATGTTCACTTTTAAGATGTTAACGTAGAAGGTTCAGTCATGCGAGGGCGCGTTGTCCCCCCACCACACTGGATTACTAAATCTGAACTCACTAAAGGCTTGAGATAGCTTAATGGGTATGAGGTGAGCGGCCAATAGAGGGTTCATCGACCGAACACACTCTGGGCTTTTCAACTGCTCTTATACAGGTTGATTTGATCTAACGATATTGTAGCCTATGTGTGTCCTTTGAGTTGTATTACGATTGCTCACTGAAAGGGTGCCAAGCCTGAACGATAAGGCCCTTTTTATTGAAGATATTAACAGATATATTTGGAAGAATGAACAAACAATGAGCGAAAGTGCCTGTCAGATGGAAACGCGATAAGGGTTAAATTTGACCTTAGAAATTTCCTCGGGGGTTTTGTCACATTAGTTATGTTTCCAGTGGCCGTTTCCCGGCCCTTATACCTAGTTTTTCTATTCTCATCTTGGTCTTGCCTTTTTGCTTTGTTGTCACGACAGTCAAGTGTTCCGGTGGACCAGAGAAATGAGAAGTATTGGAGTCGTCGGATGAAAAACAACGCATCAGCCAAACGCTCACGCGACGCCAGACGAATGTTGGAGAATCAGGTCCATATGAAAGCAACGGCCCTGGAACGTGAAAATGAACAGTTGAGGTGAAATTCTAGTTTCGTAATTTTGGTTTTCGCTTTCGGTTTTTTTATCGACCCACAGTCGCCAACTATAAATCATTTGTTGTGTAGTTTTCACTAACCTTATACGGTACCAACATATAATAACCTCATCTGTGATTCAACTGACTCGCCACAAATTTCCGCAAACTGCCGATGAATGATACCATTTCCCCCAAAAGCAACCCATTAGTGAGATCGCCAGGTGCAACGATAAAATTTCCCAGTGGCCTGAACGTCTGCATTGATTCACGCAGTCCCCTTCTGCTGAGAACTATTAAGGGTCAACCGCTTCCCCTAATAAATTTTTCACCTCAGGAATTGTGCCACTTGGTCGGGAACCTCGGGGGTTAGAGGCAATGATAAGCGCGAGTCACTCACGTAGTCAGTGGTTCTCCCGCATCGTAGTTTTTTTCACTGTTTTAGTGGAACATTAAAATCCGTATTATGCATGATAAATTGCTGCAACTACCGCCTTAGACAAGTAGCTATACTCTACTATCAGTTGATAAAAACTGACAATCAGAACCGTTTCTTAGTGCTGCACAGTTCGTAAGTTGGCTGATTGCACTGAACAGAATCGAGTGTATATCTCGTGAGTGTTCTTCATTATGATGTCGTCAGGGTGACGGCGTTGTTTAAAATAAGCACCGTACGTTGATTATAACAAGTTCGCGTGTTCAAGCAGGGTTGTGCCCCTCAATTTTTCCTTTGGGCTGTCTAGGCACCTGTGAACCAATGTGTGAAAATGGGTAGCTCTGTCCTTGTAAGAGGTAGACTTCGGTTCGTGTCTCTGCGCCCCCCCCCCAAATTGACTGTTGGTTCTATACAGGAAGTCGCCTTACCTCTTTTAGTCCTATAACATTTCGAGTTTTATTTTTCATAGCATTTGAAAGGAAAACAGTCAATACCCGGTATTCCTGCATTCCAACCTGAAACCTTATAAGCCGTAAAACCACTATGTTTTATCCCGTAAGTTTTTAAATCTTATACTCGAAATACCACGCGACGATAGGAATTTACTACCATTTGCCTTGCATCTCAGTCACAAAGCCCCCTATATAGCCTTCCCTTCACGTTATCCTACCGCCACAACCGATCAAGTTCTGTCTAACATAGGCTTATCCCAGTTGCGGGTCAACCGCTTGCATGGTTCATATTTTGCTACAACCGAACTGTGAAGAACTCTACATATGTGACTGTTTTCCAACTATTAGGTAGCGTGGCGTGTATTGGGCTCTTCTAGTGACAAGACGAAACCAGTTTTTCTCGAATCTCGAATTTCAAGCGTTTGTATCATTACAACTCGAAGTGTTGACCGTTCTCTATCCGTTGACTTTTCCTGAAAACAGACTATCCGCATTACAACGACAAGATTGACACCGAGAAACTTCATTCGATAACTGGTCACTGAAAATGGTGTGATGTGCATTTGTCACAGCGGCTGTACCCATGTCCACCAACGAAAATGCGTTCTTTATTATCAACTGAGACAGACGTATTAACTGATCCTTTGTTATGTGGCGGCGTAAACAAGACAGGCCTACGCCCTTAAGGTCGACAGAGGCTAATGTGGTAGCGTCCTTCATGCTTCCATACTATATCACTATCATTTATTCTTGAAGAGCATGGTCACAAGCATAAAAAGTCAATGCAAGCGATGAATGCGACAGAGTAACAGGAGAATATGGGAAAAAAGAGAGACGTCTCATTCGAAATCATGCCAAGAACAGTTCCAGTCTGATGAGATGAATTCCAAAGTATGTAAAGATTTTGGTATAGAAACACGCGTCTAATGACCAACAAACGAAGAAAGGACAAACAATGGTAAATGGTCTTCAAGGCGCGGTAGGCGCTAGCACAGTCAAGACTCGCACATCAGGCACAAAGTGTCCGTCATACTGGGTCTGGTGTGAGATTAAGTGGCAAGAATATACATTCAGCGCCATGTGCCATGCATAGAAGTGTCATAAGTACGCAGAGAGCCCACAACGGCAAGCAAACACAGTCCAATAACGGCCTTAGCGGATTGAGGAGAGCAGATCCCTTGATAAGAAGTGATCATCGGTTGGTGAACCAAAAAGTCAACATCACAACCGATTGCATGTAGGGCTGGGATTATGGCCGGGGAATATTCATCAGCACCATACTTCTGCTTCTTCTCATTCCACACTATCACTCCACGCCCATCCGAGACTATGCTGACGTCTAGTACAGTTGCACGGCGATCTCGAACGGCGATTATGTCAGGTTTGATGAAGGACGTCGAAGTAGGTGCTCTCAATTCCTCAAAGACGGTGTATCCCAGTCGACGGAGGGGTTTTCCGAGTTCCCTTGCAACCCGATTATGACGAGCACATCTGGCATCGATCCTACATAGGCCCTGCTATTATCACGCTTTACACCTATCCAATCCATCTGAGCGATGGCACTGATGGGCTCTGACTTTTACTAGCGCCGTTTCCAGACCCAAAGCCCCTAAGCTCAACGTAGCTTAATTCTGGTAGCGTCAATACCGTGGTAACTCAGGTGAATTTACCGGTTGGTCGCTCACCTGCTCGCGCACTGGCAACGCCTCCTCGTGTGGTGACAAGATGTTCGCAGGCCGACTGCCAAGATCGGCGAACAGGTCAACAGGCACCAGATCAACAACCATTCCGGTTTTTTAATGGACTGGACTGAACGGTTTGTTGACCGACGGTGCGGGAACATCAGTCGATTGAGCACATCACGTGTCAGCAGGAATGGCAAGTAAACTATGGTTTACCACGGGCATTCTTTCCAAAGCCTTTCGCTATCACCAAGCAAGGAATCTAACTAGATAAGCGTACCGCGGCTGTTGAAGAATCTTAGCAGCATACTGTCCGACGCATGCAAAATCGTCAGGCTCCAAAACCGGGACGCATCAGTAGTACTTTCATCGATACACCTGCATGTATCATGCAGCGAAAGTTGAGCGACTTTTTAGTCTGCCTCGTCCTTACGACCCTTCACCTATTGCATACCTGAGTGGAAACATCCTACCAATTTGTGCATCAGTTAGTATGGACTTCTGAACTATCACAAAGCGGTCGATAAAACTACTGCACTTTCACCACGTTTTGTGGGTCTTTACGACGACGTTTTTATTCTAGTGAGGATCTTGAGAACAAACTAAACCTTTGCGGACTTTTTCAGAATTTGACGCGAGCGTAAACAACGAAGTATTCAGCATGTTCTGTCGAGCTTACGCTGTCTTTCGAATAAAGCTCGTTTCGTCTTGATAGGTCGGGAAATGATGGTGACCTGCAACACAATTAGAATTTAGGAGAGGTATTTTCTCTCCGGTGTGAAACTTCAGATTAACAAAATTAATGTTTGTCTTTCCCCATCCAACAGCAATGTAGCATGCCTGTGTGAACCATTCTGACCTTTGCACGTCACATTATCCGACAGATTTCATTGTGTGGAATGATTCGTTCAGCTGTAGTGGTGATGTTTGTGTAACCAAACGCCCCGATTTCCAATGACTGCCTGTATAATTGATATAGGAAGCCAACTACTACTCCATGACTGCGTGATTGAGCCTTCCACCAGTGTTATTAACCATTGGTAAGGCGGGTGGCAGTTATCAACCTGACTCTGTTTACTGGATAGTGTTTTCATACTTCGTTGTTAGGTCGTAGACTGTTCACGTCGGTCGCTTCCATTCAGCACAGGACTGGACGAAAAGTGTTCTCCGCGGCAGACAGTCCTCTGGAATGAGGAGTACATATCCTAACCAGTGTAGCCTGTGAAGCATGAGTAACTCATCCATCGTGGGAGAGTTCCTTCCTCCTAAAACGTCTGGCGTACTTTAGCATTTCTAATTCGCTGTTCCCACCGCCAATGCTTTAGAGACACCCGTGGTCAAGTACATCGTCTGAGCCTGGAGGCCACAAAGCAATAGGGGTCGCACTTCGGCGATACATTCTCTTGACAGACACCCGTGGTCAATTACATCGTCTGAGCCTGGAGGCGACGTTTCTGATCCACAAAGCAATAGGGGTCGCACTTCGGCGATACATTCTCTGTCCTTGATAGACAAACTGATGCTACGTCGGTGCCAGAGATCGGCAAGCTGTGCCCTAGCTTTCCCGAATCAAGAACTTACTTCGTCTTCACCGGAACTGACACAAGTGCCAAGGTAAATAGGTTTATCTACGACGTCGATTGGCTGGTCTGCAAGCATGAGGTTTGGGCTGGATCCTATCTAGCTTTGCAGCAGCCTTTACACTCTGCAGGTATAGGACGTATACCAAACCGTGCGGCAGAAATACTTGGTTTATTTAAATTGGTTTGCATCTTTGAACTATTCGAACCTATGAAAGCAATGTCGTCCGCGTACTCAGAGCCTGTAAGCCGATCTCCGACGTTTCATGGGTAGGCAGAGGAATTCCAGGCAACACATCAATAACAGAGTCAAAGAGGAATAGTGAGCGAAGGCAGTCTTATGTTAATCAGGTGTATGCTTGTTGTGTGGTCGTACGTGCCCACAAGAGTCCGCATACAGTGCCTCATAAGGGATATAAATTTGGAAGGGACACTCATCACCAGACTCCGTCAGAGTTTCTAACGATCGATTAAGCCGAAAGCAGCCTTCGGGTCAGGAAAAATGACCAATCTTGTAGGTTTGAAACAGTGGCGCTGCTCGGAAATTCGTCCGAAGGTAAAGGTATGGTCGATGCATTCTCAGCCAGGATGAAACCCAACTTGATTCCCACAAATCTATCTCTCCCGATAATCGACCAACCTGCGCATAATAATGTCAGACAGCATCATGGCTGGCATAGCCACCAGGCTGATGCCAAGATGGTTTCTACATGACGTTCTTGCATCCCCTTTGAATACTGGGATGATGGTCAAGGAGCTCCAACCTACTTACATTCTGTTTGCGTTCCAGTTCTCCTGAAGTTCACCAAGACCACATCACATTCTTTGAAGAGTGCAATGTGCGGACTACCTGGGCCAGATGCCAGCTGAATCGAACCGAATCCCGATCCAAAGGGTCATAAACGAGAGATTCAGTTTAGTTCCGGGTTTTTCCCCCACCAAAGCGAAGTTTAAATACAACTGATTATATTTGTTGATATTATAGGGTTCTGTCGTTTACCAGGACTTGTTGGCGAACATAGACATTTTGAAGTTCCAATTTTAGCGGTCTCTCCAAGAAATTCCACCCCAGCCAATACTACCACATTCTTCTTTCATCAGATTTGGCTTGACATTGATATCCCAACAGAGATCATCCTTGGTGTCACCGAGGAGCAGTCACCTCTCTTGGCAAAGAGCAGAACTCAAGATTCATGTTTAGGGTCTCACATGACTTCCGGCAAAGTAGTCCTTCGAATATAGAGCCCTCCAAAGGGTATTTACTGTACTAAAGATGGTGTACTAGCATTCAGAGTCACTATTGATTCAGTGGCCAGACAACCGTTCATTTGGATGGCCTAATGGACTGTAAATACGCACTAATATAAATGTCAACAAAAATTCGAACTTGAAATGAGAAGCGCAGCAAATGCGAATGTCAGCCGATTGACATGCGTTTCACTAAAGTGTAGCTTCTGGATCTTCATGCAGGCCATGGATTCTCAACCTTTGCCAATGCTTTAGAGACACCCGTGGTCAAGTACATCGTCTGAGCCTGGAGGCCACAAAGCAATAGGGGTCGCACTTCGGCGATACATTCTCTGTCCTTGATAGACAAACTGATGCTACATCGGTGCCAGAGAGTTGCCGGAGATCGGCAAGCCGTGCCCTAGCTTTCCCGAATCAAGAACTTACTTCGTCTTCACCGGAACTGACACAAGTGCCAAGGTAAATAGGTTTATCTACGACGTCGATTGGCTGGTCTGCAAGCATGAGGTTTGGGCTGGATCCTATCTAGCTTTGCAGCAGCCTTTACACTCTGCAGGTATAGGACGTATACCAAACCGTGCGGCAGAAATACTTGGTTTATTTAAATTGGTTTGCATCTTTGAACTATTCGAACCTATGAAAGCAATGTCGTCCGGGTACTCAGAGCCTGTAAGCCGATCTCCGACGTTTCATGGGTAGGCAGAGGAATTCCAGGCAACACATCAATAACAGAGTCAAGAGGAATAGGTGAGCGAAGGCAGTCTTATGTTAATCAGGTGTATGCTTGTTGTGTGGTCGTACGTGCCCACAAGAGTCCGCATACAGTGCCTCATAAGGGATATAAATTTGGAAGGGACACTCATCACCAGACTCCGTCAGAGTTTCTAACGATCGATTAAGCCGAAAGCAGCCTTCGGGTCAGGAAAAATGACCAATCTTGTAGGTTTGAAACAGTGGCGCTGCTCGGAAATTCGTCCGAAGGTAAAGGTATGGTCGATGCATTCTCAGCCAGGATGAAACCCAACTTGATTCCCACAAATCTACCTCTCCCGATAATCGACCAACCTGCGCATAATAATGTCAGACAGCATCATGGCTGGCATAGCCACCAGGCTGATGCCAAGATGGTTTCTACATGACGTTCTTGCATCCCCTTTGAATACTGGGATGATGGTCAAGGAGCTCCAACCTACTTACATTCTGTTTGCGTTCCAGTTCTCCTGAAGTTCACCAAGACCACATCACATTCTTTGAAGAGTGCAATGTGCGGACTACCTGGGCCAGATGCCAGCTGAATCGAACCGAATCCCGATCCAAAGGGTCATAAACGAGAGATTCAGTTTAGTTCCGGGTTTTTCTCCCACCAAACCGAAGTTTAAATACAGCTGATTATATTTGTTGACATTATAGGGTTCTGTCGTTTACCAGGACTTGTTGGCGAACATAGACATTTTGAAGTTCCAATTTTAGCGGTCTCTCCAAGAAATACCACCCCAGCCAATACCACCACATTCTTTCATCAGATTTGGCTTGACATTGATATCCCAACAGAGATCATCCTTGGTGTCACCGAGGAGCAGTCACCTCTCTTGGCAAAGAGCAGAACTCAAGATTCATGTTTAGGGTCTCACATGACTTCCGGCAAAGTAGTCCTTCGAATATAGAGCCCTCCAAAGGGTATTTACTGTACTAAAGATGGTGTACTAGCATTCAGAGTCACTATTGATTCAGTGGCCAGACAACCGTTCATTTGGATGGCCTAATGGACTGTAAATACGCACTAATATAAATGTCAACAAAAATTCGAACTTGAAATGAGAAGCGCAGCAAATGCGAATGTCAGCCGATTGACATGCGTTTCACTAAAGTGTAGCTTCTGGATCTCATGGCGGGCATGGATTCTGCAAATGCGAATGTCAGCCGATTGACATGCGTTTCACTAAAGTGTAGCTTCTGGATCTTCATGCAGGCCATGGATTCTCAACCTTTAGAGCCCACCGACCTTTAGTGCACAGTGTACGACAACATCGCTCCTCATTTTATTGACAATACGTAAACAGCAAGCTCTTTGAAAAAACTCTAAAAACAGTGTGGTGCAGACACAGGCCGCTACTCTAGAGAATATATAACCTCTATCCTCAAAGGGCACGATTTAGTTTACCATTGTTGCTTGCAAATGCTGATACTGGTTGATCAGAGAGTGTACAGATTCATACATCACATACACTAGCAAAGTAGTTAGTCCTCAAGGTGATTGGGGAATTCAGTTTAATCTTTTCGTAAGGAAGACTTGGAATTTTAGGAATTTTTACCAAGGCGCAAGTCGGAACCGATCAGCCAGAGCGGGTAACGTGTTGTCGACGCAGCACGAGTTCGGTCAACTATTGGTTCCGCCATAACGGAACAATGTGAAACCACAGAGGTATTACTGGCGTTCATCCCGATCAAACAAGCTAACATTAGCCACGGCGGTATCTGTATACACTAAGACGTCAAGTGACAATTGAGCGCGTTTGGATAACAGCACCATTCCTCTGGTGATAAACAGACAGATTCTCCCGCTTTGGTCACACACTCAGGAACGGCAATTCCTAGATTCATCGTAGTATTTGTAATTAATCTTATTAACATATAGGTATGACTGTCCAGCTCAGATGATTAAGAATACCGCCATAAACTAGAGATATGTTAAAACAATTCTCATTCGGAAGACAATGAACGAATCAATTTACCATCCAGAACGCCAGCTGGTTAGCAGTCGGTATTTCGTGCACTAATCATTCCAGTACAGTTGCTATTTCAATGAATGAGTCCGTCCACCTACCTTTTTACCAAGGCACTGAATAATCTGATGTATATGCAGTAAAGATAGTTTGTCTTTCTCACAGTGATTACTTCCATTTTCGGATCTGTGTTCCACTGGCCCTTGAATTCAGAGCATTATGGGTTTATATCAGTAGATGACGCGCTTAGGAAAGAGTCAAGATAAGCAAACTGTCACTTATGTGTAAGAATTGCAGTGGTGTATATCAATACGCCATTAAGTTTGTTTCAACCCTAATCGGTGCATACTTACCGGATCATGCGGTTATGTGTCAAAGATATCTTTTATGCAAATTTTGGACGTTTTTTTTCGCCACGTTTTGCCCTGCCTATAAGCTTATGCTTCTCTAACGCGCCACAAACACGTGTCTTCTCGAATCACCTTTGTTCCGACTCCGGAAAGTCAATTTAAAGCGATATTCAAATATTAAGCTCTGTCTTAAGGACAAATGGTTGGTCACGAAAGCAAGTCCTGGTATGACTGCAAGCTAGCAACGGCTTTAGACGGTGAGGATCTTTTGGAAGCATGTTTATTGTTCATACAGTGATCTGTCCTCAAAGCTTCTATCAAAATACGGCGGTTTACCACTTTAGCCGCCTTAGTTTAAGCGTTACGAAATAGGGAGAGGAAATCACTGCTCTCTATCGAGAAGAGAGCTTCAGTCGGTGGTCGAATTGTTCTCCGAACTTGATAATTCTGTCGCAAACGTTTGGTCACTAGTCAAAGTGACACTCTCAGTGAAGCAGCTTGTCAGGCACTTTTGTACGAATTTCAGTGATAGGTCTACGTGGGATTCTTGGCGTCCTTTATTGTTTTTTGGCGATGTGTAGGCTGTGGACAGAGAAGTAAAAGTCGCTCAAACTTTGAGTGACTTATCCTATCATTTTGGGGAGCGCCCTTCTGATTTTGGTTGATCGACCGCTAATCTTAATCTCCCGATCCAGCTCATTCGATCCACGCTACAATCTCCTATTTGCTTGGATCAGATTATGTGGACGATGCGCACTGTAGGGAAGCAAGGGAATTTGTGTTGCTTTTCAATGGACCTATAGATGTTTTTTTTATTTCTGTTTCTACTGCAGACTCCAGATGACGTTGTTGGTTGAGGAGAATAAGAAGCTGCGTGACCTACTGAACCAGGCGAATATTCATTTGCCTCCCTCGTCCGTTATTTATCCTCCTGTACCTGCCTCCACTGTCGCACGTGAAAATGTATCTTCTTATTCACCTATCCTTCCCGAACGTCCCGTCTTCGTTCCTTCTGTATCCTTGCAGGACCCAACATCTTGCCCATCTCCATCATTTTGCTGGAACCATGTGCGTAGTGATTGCTGCTAGCGATAGCCTGGTGCTTCATTCAGCTGTATCCTTGCAGGACCCAACATCTTGCCCATCTCCATCATTTTGCTGGAACCATGTGCGTAGTGATTGCTGCTAGCGATAGCCTGGTGCGTTCATTCAGCCTGTTCGTGTGTTTGTGTGTGCTGCCTTACAGATGATCTACGTACCTGCAAAATCAGTGATAATTTTCCGCCCGTTCCCCGTGATGATCCATTTCATTTTATGCCGTTCATTTTCGCTTCAGTTTATTCTTACTACCTTTTTTCTATCTGATTTTATCCGACTGTGCATCTAGGGACGAGTATTTCATCGATCAGGACATGAGTTTGTCGAGTGACATGTCGAGTAGCACTGCTTACTTACCGTATTTCACCGAATTTTTACTTTTTTTGGAGTTCTCACCCGTTGTTTTTCTGATTTTCTGACTGTACATGCATGTCGTTTCGAATCTCTTGGGTGACTTTTCGAACTGAACCCGGTCACAAAATGTTCAAGAGTCTGGAAGGCTCAGTCAGACGCCAAATCTTCTCTTGAGCCATGAATTTCGAAACTGTTTTAAAGTGCTTCATTCACTTTCGTGCCTCCGAAAAGCCAGTTATTCTTTCAGTATCGGGACATGTAATTCTGCCCACGAATAATAATAATAATCGTTCAGCTGTAGCATCCTTTCGATGCCTAACTGCCATGCAACCCGAAGGAAGCACGAGGGCTGGGATACTGCCAGGTTGCTCGAGCCTAGACAGGGTAAGTCAAGAGACGGAGGTTGGGTTCGAACCACGGACCTTCCGGTCAGTAACCACTCTAACCACTGAGCCATCTCGCGCCATTCTGCTTTGACCCAATCGCCTCTGTTTTTCCGTACGAATTGGCTTGAAACGGTTCGGCCGACAAAATAGTTTCAAATTTTGTCCGTGTGCAAAATCTTTTTTAATCTCGTATGAAGTCGTCTGCTTTTTTAGTCTATAGTGGGTTGGTTGACGACGCCACAACAGAAGCTCATCGTATCAACCGTGTATGTCTGCATGTGCCGGTTAGAGTTGTATGGTATCACACGGATGTGCATTTAACTCGATCATTGGGCTAGCTTTTACATCCACAGTATCTCGTGATCAGATGACCTCGTGCTTCAGTGTAATAATGAAATAATAACCGTCCGGTTGAGCACCCTTTCATCCACAGTATCTCGTGATCAGATGACCTCGTGCTTCAGTGTAATAATGAAATAATAACCGTCCGGTTGTAGCACCCTTTCGGTGCCTAATTGCTATGCCACCCGGAGGAACTAGAAGGACTGAGATACTACCATTTATCTGGGCTTAGACAAGACCAGTTGAGATGCGGAGGTTGGGTCTGAACCACTGAGATTTCTCGTACTCAACAAACGGAATCATCGTGTTCGGGATTCGTACCCTCACTGGGAATTCCCAAACGATCAGAACACAGTCCAACCTCTTTTCAACAACAGTTTCGGAAAACAGTACCGATAGTTGAATTTTAATCAGATCGACGTATCGAATATTCATTCGAAACCAGACGTAGGAAGGTTTGAGGAAAATCAAGTTTCCATTGATCGGGGGCGTCTGACATGAAATGTTCTCACAAAACCCAGCTGAAAGGCTTCCACCCAGGTTTGCATCGACTTTGGAATAGATGCTTTTGGATATCGGTGCAAATAACGTCTGCAATCGTAGCTTTCAACGATGTGCATCCTTAATTTCACTAGCCTCTATTGCTGAAACTGGGTTTGGTTACTGAACATCATTTGGCTGTCTTTGTCGTTCACGTTAGCAACAGTCTGTTCAGCCGCCATGGTTGTGATTTAAATACCATCCAACTGAAACTACCTCGTCAAGCGTCTCTAGTTCGTTACTTCTGCTTTTAGGGTTGCTGGCGAGGCAATGAAGAACCTCGTTAGGGTCATCGATCGCCCTTCGTATTCATTCGTCTTCTGAGGCCTATGTAGGTAAGATGACGGACCACTGGGCAACGGACTCGCGTCACAGTAGCTATTTTAATTCGTCTAGTCCGATGGAAGCATCAAAAATACGGTTTTCCTATGGGCTTTCTTCGACGCAACAGATGGGAAATGCCGTCAGATAGCATGAGCCTGATATCAGTCCCGATCCTTGTATGAACGTGAGACTCATCATTTACGTCCATGTGGTTGAATAGTTGATGTTCTCTGTTTGCTGGAAGGTGTAGTGAAAAGTGCTCAGGCAAATATTAACGAGCAACTTTGATTCCAAGCAAATTTGAAGCCACGAAACGAGATAAAGTAAACAAGTTGCCTGCTATAGGTGCCCCTGGATCATAAATTCCTTCCATACTTGACAAATCACGTGCAAGATAGATGAATTCGTGAATACCTTTGTGACAGCGAATAAGCTTTACAGAGATCAATGAATCACGTGTTCAAACGAATTTCGTCAACACCAGACTATTTTATAGTACAGAATTACCTATTGGCCGACCGCGGTTCCTTCGAAAGTAGGGTGCGGAGTCACGGCCGGATTCCGACCCCCGGTGTTCAGTAATTGTCCGGATTTTCACTAGTCTCGGTTGGTCAATGGTCCGCGTTATGTGACTTCGGGGTGTTCCCTTAGTTACTGGTGCTTAGGCCAGATGTAACGCCCCAATTTCTTCCAGACACCATTTAGTGACACCGGGGGTTTGTTCTCCCATCCTCTGACGGAAATCTCACCACACGATCAACACAAGATGCCCGGAGCAACCATGGATCCTGACAGTGTGGTTGGAACTGAAGTGCCGTAGGAATTTCAGCCTATTTTGTGGGCAGTCGGAGGCGGTTGCCGCATTCGTGGAATACACATTCACATCACTCGAATTAACAGTTTCCGTCCGGCTGCGGCACAATTACTCTGATGACTCCACACCAAATGGTTGAAACACTGGATTCGAGTTTCAGTGCATAGTACCAGGATTCGAAGCGGAGATATGTGACATACAAGTGTGAATGTTTCACCACTACCTCACCAGCAGACGGTGGACGCTCCCTACTTACCACGTCTACACATGTGAACACATCCATGCTCGAATGATCTGATTGGCTTACCCCTTTGCTGTGGTCTTACAAGAACAGTTGGGCCAGGACTTTGGTAGGACGGGTAAGTCAGGAGTAATGTGAACGTGAATATCTTTATTGTCGTGCAAGTAAAATGCCTAAGTGGATCCTTATTTTTGTCGTAATGGACGTAACGATGCTACCAAATACCTTGAACCTCTCTTTCACTAGTGTACACGTAATTTCACCCAACTATGTACGAAGAGGACCAGTCACGGAAGATGGATGGGCTTCATTCGCTAGCAAACTGTGCTATCGATCACAACTGCACAAAGGGTGAACATCGGTTAAATTATTGAACATATGAGATGTTCTCAATAATAGAGTCGGATATAGCAAAACATGCTTACAGTCTTTGGATATATATATATATATAGCTCGTTAACAATCGCTAGCAAACTGTGCTATCGATCACAACTGCACAAAGGGTGAACATCGGTTAAATTATTGAACATATGAGATGTTCTCAATAATAGAGTCGGATATAGCAAAACATGCTTACAGTCTTTGGATATATATATATATATAGCTCCGTTAACAATCCTAAACATCTCGATATACGTTTCCAACCCCCAAGTCGTCTGTTTAATTTACCTTAATGTTTGTTCACTGGGCAAACAGTACAGTGAATGCTTCTTGCTCATACGCTGGATTCCCTGTGCTTTGATGTATGCTGCCTGCCAGAAACCAGAATCCGGGACACAAGTTCTTTAGATGTACTGACTCACCTTGCTGTCTTCCAGCTACTGCCTGCGCACCACTTCACATTTATATGCCGGGGTGGGTGTGTTATGTTGAGCTATCTGCCGGATTCGCCTCTACTGGTTTAGATAATCAATGCCTCTGTGCGATACGTTTAACGTCTGTGAAAAGCTGGAATATGACGGGTCTATTGCCCACAGTTTATTGTCTGCCTACAACCCAACTGTACAGTGTGTATGAAGCTTCAGGTGCGGGGATATGAATGCGCAGGGTGGTAGGATAAGCGCTGTTGGTGCTCAACTGGATGTCCCCTAGATTGGTTACGAAGCACACGGAACAGAGGAACTCCCAAAGTGGTCATTTGCCAACCAGAGGCTGCTCCTCTGCAGTATCGAATTCCGCTGGCATGGATCGATCACTACCTATAGCTACTTATGGTAAAACTGTGTGGAATACAATAATGCACTCGTTCGTTGCTGCTTTTCCATGCGCTTTACATGTCTACGCGGAATACGCACATCACTTTCGGTAGATAAAAGCCCCTTGCATCCCGAAATCAAACTAATTTATCAGGATATGCTCCTCCTTAGCCTATTTGCTGGTTAGATAGTGGGTGTTAACAATTACTGAGGCGAGGTGTTCACGATGCCTTTACTTTACCACTTTACCAGTGGTACATCCAAGCCGGCTTATTTCAAGCACTGTTTCTGTTTTAAAACCATGAGTCCGTTAGTGGTCCGATGAGATAGTCCTTTCGGTCTGGAACGCAACCCACCTAGTGGCATCATCCGACCACAGGTGAAACAGACCAGTAAGATTGGTGGATTTAGGTGGAAAAAACGGAAGGAGCAACAAATGTTGAAAATGTCCACAAGCAATTCTAGTCGATTCTTTCGATAGGTCCTGTGGAATCTCTGGTGAATGAAATCATTAAAGATCAAAATGGCTCTCCTGTATCCAGCAAAAGGGAACCCTTGGACCGATAGTCACAATCCTCCGAGATACAATTTAATTGATCACCTGCTAGTTCCCATCCGGAATGTAGTCCTTCGGCAGAAATATAGGAACCTTTTCAGATTTATAAGGCTTCGAATATATTTCCCTAGTCAATCATCAGCTTGACCCTAGCCCTGACGACCCTCCACCTGCTCTTCTAAAGGATGGCAGTGCAGTAATCAGTCAATGTCTAACTTTTTTTAATTTGCCTGAAAGAAAAAGACCATCCCATAGAACCGGAGTGAATCGAGAGTGATGCCCACCTTCAAGAAGGGTATTCAGCTTGGGTCTCTAATGGCAGTGAGCCCTCGTCATCTTAACGCGGTGCCGTGAGCATTAAACGAGGTTTTGAACAGTCTAGGGGCTGCGTCAATTATATCTTTACACTCCACCAGGTTTGGGAAGGGCCATATCTCCAGACGTCATACAATCTTGTCGTCAACTGTGCATTTAGTCCTGTCGCTCCGTGAGCGCTTCTAATTACATATGCTCAAGAAAGGAGGGTGGAGTTTTCGCCAGCACGTTTCGACCCTTATATCAACATAATTCCGGGCAAGGAAAAATGTATTGAGAGCCTCCTAAGGCCTTCTCTGTAAAAAAAAGTTGTCCGATAAGGATGTCCACTCTCTCCATCGTCGTTCAACTTCGTCATCGACAACTGATGAAGCGGAGGCTGAGGTATCTACAAAACCCCAGTGGTCGAATCTTTGTTAATGAAACCGTTTTTCCTCTGAAGTACGCAGACCAAATCATCCTAATCTTTGAAGACGAAGACAAAACACAAGCAGTGCTGACCAAACTCACCGCGATTGCCCTGTTCTGACAAGCGCCTTGTTCCTGAAAATGCAGAGTCACGCTTCAAAACGTCAA